GGGAGGCCAGTTAAATGATGAGGAAACTGCTCCCTACCTATTGGGTGTACTAACCTACTCAGCAGTCTCCTAAGCACTGGATTTATGACAAAATAGTGGGTTCTTTTGCCTTTGCAGAACTTAGCACTGAGCATTCAGAAAATATTTGATAAACAAATGCTATTTGCTTGACTTTCTATTGTGGAGTTGTGTGATCTGCCAGGTTCTGGGCTTCCTACAGCCCCATTCACTCATCCTTCCTCATTTGCCTAAAGGCTCATCTTTACTCCTCACCCCGACTGTCTCTCCCTTCTGCACAGCAGAACATTTGCAATCCCCCCTGGAATGCCAGCCCATCACCCCACCTTCAGTAAATGAATTTCTTGTATTAATTTCCAAATCAGCATAATGTTCTTATTTATGTAAATATATATAGGTCAGACAAAATTTCTCCAACAAGTGGAAGAAAGTGCCACACCAAGGGAGGATTCCTACTGAGTAGTAGTGAGGGTGAAGGGTTAGCTCCAGTTACCCATGCCCTTTCTTTTTGTCCTCCCAGTGGACATATTTCTGTGACTTTCTAGGCTTGGTGCCTGCAGAACCTAGCCAGGCAACCAGGGTGGCAAAGCTCTGGCTACCATGGTCTTGTGCACTTAATCCTGTTCCCAGAAACACTTCCTTCACAGTAAACAAAGGCAATCTGGCCAGGAGCTGTTACTCACAGGCCTTCCACATGCAGAAGGTCAAAACTTTAGCATCTCAATTACATGAAATCCAGCATCTTTAGCAGCAAGCACTGCAGCTATCTATCCTCTGGGGTTTGGCGTTTTATTATTTGGTTTGGGTTTTTTGTTTGCTGTTTTAAAAACTAGGAAAAGAAAAGAGCCAAGATATGTATTCCCCAGGGCAGCAGGCAAACACAGGTAAACCACAGTTTGCAGCAGTCTCCTGACTTCTTTAACTGGTATAAATTTGTACAGACACACCAGCCCTTCACTTCTAAAACCCATGTATCTGGGCATGGTGGCACACACCTTTAATCCCAGCACTCAAAAGAAGAGGCAGGCAGATCTACAGAGAGACCCTGTTTCAAACAAACAAAAAACATGCATCCATTTGTCTCCATCACCCTTTTTCCTGAAGCAGCCAACAGCAGAGGCACAGGAATAAGCAATTTTCTTTGACAGTATTCAGTCCTCTGAGCTTCACTGAGAACTACCCAGCAGTAACCCCAAAGTTAGGACCCAAAGGGCAGTGTCTCCTATGTCTCTGTGTATCCCTTGAAACACAAGCTTCCCTGAACTTCACACAGGCATCAAGAAACAGAAATGGCCCAAAAGGCAGCTATACTCTACTAAGGGTCATTAATACCTGAGCTGAAGGAGGAAGGAAGGAAGGGAGGGAAGGAGGAAGAGACGGACGGAAGGACAGAAGGACAGAAGGATGGAAGGAATTACTTAAAATTCAGCAGCACCAAAAAGCACTTCCCATAAGACTTGACAAAGAGACAAATGGGCTCCTGAGTATTCATCATAGACAATCCTTACTATATTATGCCATCCACCAAGTTTCACAGCATCTGTGCACTTAAAGGGCTAGCTAGGCATTATCTACCAGGATTTGCACTTGCTGTCCATCTTGCCTAATAACCCCCCATCCCATCATGTCTTACCTGCCTAATCCTTTTCAAGTGTGAAAAACTTAGGATCTTATAAATACCATAGGGGATACCGAATATGTGCATGCACACTGTCTAACGTCATTTACATGACAAACAAAAGTGAATCAGTATTGTAAGAGGGGAGTCTGCTCCCTTTGTCAAGCACAGGTAGTAACAAAGAGTACTAAAGGATGCAAGCTGCTGTTACTTTCTTGTTCTGTATGTAGCAAGCCAGCTGCTTTTCACATATTACAAACTCACCAAACAGTTCACTGACAGTCAATACTGTCACCTTGACAGGTCTGGAATCACCTAGGAGACCAAGCTCTGGGCACACCTGTGAGGTCATTGCTAGATTACCCAAGGTGGAAAGAGCCTCTCTGTGTGCAGGTGGCACCCTCCCATGAGATATGTTCCCAAATTGCATAGCAACGAACAGAGCGTCCATCTCCCTCTGCTTCCTGACTGTGGATACTTGTGACCAGCTGCCACAAGCGCCTGTGGCCTTCCTTTCTCCACGAGGACAGACTATACACTCAACTGTGAGCCAGAATGATGCCTGCCTGCCTGCCTTAAGTTGCCTTTTCAGGTATGCTGCTACAGTGAAAGAGTATGTTCTACATTTGTGTCCTCAATTAAAAAATTAAATATAGACCAGGAATGCCAGCATACACCTTTACTCCCAGTACTTAAGTCAGATGAAAGCCAATCCCTGTGAGTTCTAGGACAGCCCAGTCAACTCAGGCCAGCAGAGCTACACATGAGACCCAGGCTCAAAAAAGAAAACAAACCTAAATAAAAGCACATTATGGGACAGATTTTCTGGGTGTTGGTGTGCCTACTTGTGACACCATTTATTCCCCATCATGTGACCCTGTTTGATTTCATTATGGCTTCGTCAGTCCTGGAAACCATCTTTCTTACTGTAGTATCTATCTCTTTGCCCTTCCTGCCCTCAGTACCTCCTGGTCAAGGGCTCTGCCTGCTTTACTTACAGCCCCAAGTCCCAGGGCCTGAAGCAGACTCCCCTGATAGTGTAGAGATGGACAAATACAGCCCTATAAAAAGATACATCAACCCAAAGTCAAATAATGAAGTAGACTGCAGAAGTTTAAAAGAGACAGACAGAGATAGAGGGAGAAAGTTCAATGACATTAAGTATAAAAAATGTATCTGAAGCTAATCCCAGGGAGGGGTGTTTTTCCTTGGGTATTTTTGTGAAACCCCTTAGAGTTGCTTCTAAAAGCAGAAAGTGGGTCTTTTATCTGGGCCCATTTACCTGTTTGCTTTGTTTTGTTTTGACAAAGCATGGTACAAAGTAGATCTTAGCCAAGGGTGCCAACAGATTTCTGACTGGGTAAAGATTCCTAAGTTTGGTAGGGGGAAAAATGAACCATCTTTAATTGTAGTGTCTGCTATGAGCCAAGAAGTGGATAATTTGTATCAAATCGGGATGGCATGGAGCAGGTACTAAGAAGACAGATCCTTAAACTCTTAGGCTGTGTGCTCCTACTTCCATTACCAACTCCAAAATGTTCCTTTAAGAAGTGTGTCCCTAGTATTAGTGACTTGCAGTTTTATGCAGTTTAATTTGCAAGGGAAATGAGCACTCACCAGCCCCCCCCCCCCCCCATGCCTTCAGCTCTGCCTCAAACTCTGTATAACCTTGAACAGGCCATTGAACTTCCCAGCACTGGACTTTTCTACACAGGCCCACTGGTCAGGCTGTCCTGAAAATCACCTGTCTTCTAGCTCTCTCCGCCTTACTTCTCTGAGACAGGGTCTCTCCCTGAACTGGCCAACAAGCTCTTAGAACACATATGTGTTTCTCCTTCCCAGTGCTGGGGTCACAACTTCACACTGCCTGCCATGAATGGAGTTTTACAAGGTGCTGGGGAGTCCACACACTCAAGGGAGCCAGTGTCCTTACCATCTGAGCCAGCTCCCAGCCCCACTGTCATTTTCTAAGCCTGGTGTTCCCAGAATAATAAAAAGTTCATAAACCAAAGTACATTATTCAGTATAGGTAACAGGTCTCACTCCCATCTGCCAGTCTCTCCTAATTGGTCCAAGGTTTCCATTACTTGGATAGGGAAGATGACAACATACTCCAGTGAAATGTTCTATTTTAGGCTTCTCTGAACAACCATTTTCTTCCTAGTCTTCATTTTTTACTGCCCTGGGCTCCATGTTTCTCATAAATTCAACTCTACTGTAACAGCATCACAGTTCCTGTTTTTTTTATAACACTTATATAATGAATAGGACTTAGATCACCTGGAGATATCTCCTTATTCTATTATAGCAGGTATCAGTGATTTTAATTAGACAAACCACCATCCCTGTCCTTTACCCGACATACTGTCAAGTGCCTATTAAGGATATTACAATAATAAGTATTGGCACCTCTTAAATTCCCATTAACAATAACAGAGAAATGGAACGTTGGGTAATGAAAAGAAAGGGGGGGAAAAAAACCCTTCACAGGATGCCATAATTACTTAGAGTAACACAAGAAATCATTAGTAACTTTTTCTTTCAGTTTCTTAGTGCCCTCTGCATGCCTTGCTTAAAATGTGATAATTTGCCTCTCACTCAACTGGAAAATTTTTCTTTCTGGTGGAAAGGTAACCTAGAGAAAGTAGACCATGATTTCTCCAAGTGTCAAAGCCAACTTCAGTTTCCCCCCAAAAGGCCTCTGGCTAGTGAAGAGGTTGCCCTCAGAAGCAGGTAAACATGGGAACAACGTGGCGCTGCTGTTCTGAGTCCAACATGGGGCAAGGACAAAGTGGGCAGGATCTGAGCAGTTTTGACAGGGGCCACTCATAGGAGAAGGACAAGGAAAGGGCTCCCACTTTCCCCCTGAACCCTTGCATGTCCCCTGAGCAAAGCACACAGAGGCTGCACAACAAGCAACAGCCTGCAGAGTTCACCCTGGCAGGTGAGCAGCCTTGGGAGCCGCGGATTTTCTGGCGTGTGGAGCACGTGGCCAGCCTGACGAGCTCAGGCAGATGGACGCCCCCAAAGCAGCGCCCGGAAAGCCTGGGAAAGCTCTGGATTCGAACAGTGAGAGCAACTTTTGCAACCTCCACCGCTGGCGGCGCGGGGCTCCAGTGCCTGCCCAGGGGCCGCTGAGGGGGGCGTTAGACCCGGACCGTGGGCTGTGCACTCTGGCCCGCGCGCGATCCCCGCAGCCTCCCGTGGGAGGTGGCCCGGGTCCTGCAGCACCAGGGACGCCGCTCAGGCAGCCGCGCCGCGGGGGAGCACAGGGTCGCGAGGGGTCGCCGGGGGCGAAGAAGCCGCCGCCGAGCAGGGCAGGGGCGCCACGGCGGGTGGCTTGTGTCGTCCCAGCCGCGCTCACCTGGGACCTGACCGCCAGGAGCCGCGGCCGCAGCGCTTGCTCTCGCAGAAGCTTCCCGGCCTGCGCCGCGATGGCCACCGGGGACGCCATCTTAACCAGGAACCTGGGCAGAGGACGCGAGGGGGAGGGGGGAGGGGGCGGGGCGGGGAGCGGGCCCTGACCCCGGCCACGGGAGGGGCGAGCCGGGGAGGGGCGGGGCGGGGAGGGGGCGGGGGGGGGGGGGGGCGGGGGGGGAGGGCGGGAGGGGGCGGGGAGGGGAGGAGCAGGATGAATTGGGAAAAGGAAGGAATGGGAGTGGCAGGAGGGTAGGGAACCCACACACTCACTCCCACCACCACCCACCCCTGCGCCCATCACCATCACCACCCTACTCGACACTAAGTGGCTTCCCAGACTTCACAACGTCTTGCTTGGACGGATCTCAGCCCCAGGGACACTGGCTTAAACTGGCCCTGGGAAGGACAGATTAGAGATTGTTTGACTGCAGTGGGCACTGCTAGGTCTGGCCCTAGCAAGTGATACCTTTATCAAAGGATACCTCTTATAGAAAGGATTGTTCCAAGGCCATGTGGGGCAGGGGAAGCTGATGAAGTTTGGGGAATGAGGGGGTTGTTTTAGGTGGTAGTGTTTTGTTGTTGTTTTGCTTTGCGTTTTTGAGACAGGGTTTCAAATACTTTCCATTGGCCAGAAATTTAGATGGAACTCCTGACCTTCTGCCTCTCTCTACCTCAAATGTGGTGACAATGGAGAGGCATCATCCTGTCTCTTTTGTGAAACTGAAGGAGGCTTTTAGGTATGTCTTAGAGACATGTGTTTTCTTGCTCCTTAACCTTAAATTAATAAAAAGCTACTACTGAATTTTCTACTCAGCTATGAGAAAAGTATTTGTTTAAAGTGTGCAGACAGCTATGCATTTTATTTACATAAATTAAAAATCACAATAACAACCCCTATGTGCCACGCATTGAACAACTATGAACCCATTTAAGCTTTGTGGCAATCTTTTAAGTAGGTGAAGCTTCCATACTCATTTTGCAGAAAAGGAAACTGAAGCACACAATGAATAAGAACCTTAGCAGAAGCCAGTCGATGAGAAGTACACATGAGATTCAAATTCATGCTCCAACCCCCAACACTACTTGGGGATATTTTTTAGTTGGGGTTTTCGAACCTCACTCACTCTTGAATTGTCATGAGATAGACAGGGGACACTATAGCAATAGTGCACTCACAATAGTGGCTTGTGTCACCTTTCTTTAAACTTTCATTTGATATAATTTCACATTGACAGAGAAACTCTAAGAACATTACTCTAAAAGACCCCAAATGTCTTTATGCAGCTTCACCCAGGAGTTACATGCCAACCTGTATCTGTCCTTGATAATCTATTCCTCCCAGAGGCTTACACACATTTATTCTGTCTTCATTTATTCTCTGTCTCTCTGTCCCTGTCTGTCTCTCTTTATCGTGTGTGTGTGAGTGTGTATGTGTGTGTGTGTGTGTGTGTGTGTGTGTGTGTGTGTGTGTGTGTTATATATCTCATGTGTGCACAGAGGCCAGGAAGCCATCTGTGCCTTGCTCTATTTGCCACCCTCTTCTCTAGAGACAAAAATCTCTCTCTGAACTTGGAGCGAGTATAACAGCCAGCAAGCCCCAGTGCTCTCCTTGTCCCTGCAGGAAGGAGCTAGAGTTAGAGTGGAATGGATACAGCTGGCTTTTTGTACGGGTCGTGGGAATCCGAAGCTCAGTCCTCATGCTTGCACAGCAAGCACTCTTAGCCACTAAGCATTTTCCTCTACCCAAGATCAAAGGTCTGCTGATTATTACATTTGATTCTATGATGGCCATACCACCATGAATGCATCTACTCCACTCTTCCCTCTCCCCATTATTTTTGTATTCATTTGCATCAAAATAATTAGTAGATTTGAGGCCTTTTTTGCAAAACAAACAAAAAATGGAATAAATTACATTTGTTTTTGTTTTGCTTGGTTGGTTGGTTTTGGTTTTTATGGAACAGATTTCTGTGTGTAGCTTTGGAGCCTGTCCTGGCACTTTCACTGTAGGCAAGGCTGGTCTCGAACTCACCAGTCTCTGTTTCTCAAGTGCTAGAATTAAAGGTATTTGCCATCATTGCCCTGCCTAAGTTACTTTTTTTTTTTTTTTTTTTTTTTTTTTTTTTTTGAGTAAAAAACCTCAAAGAAAAAATGAGTTGGTTTAGCTGTGAGCATCTGTGTGTGGGAAAGGAGGTCCTGGCTCTTCAAAGAATGATAATGCCAGGAATCTCGGCTCAAGCAGGGTAAGAGTTTGGGTCAATATTCCAAAGAAAGCAAGGAGACTTAGCAGCAGCTGAGAAGAAGCTTCTGGAATGTACTTTATCTCATTAAGAGATAAATATCCTCCCCTTCTCTTTATCATTTCTTCATCATGTCTCAGCTTTCAAGTGGATGGGTAGTCTCCTGTCCATGTGATTAACAAACCCATCTGAATAAACTTGTAAGGAAGTTTTAGATAGATTACATAGTCATATCTCCTCCCTAGGTCAGAAGTACAACTCAGATTCTATCCTTTTGGCCAGGAAAAAAATAGCCTTCCCTTAAAGGGCTGCAGCAAAATCCAGATACTGCTGTCATCTTCCCCCTTTCCCTTTTATATTCAAAATATTAAAGGACAGCAATTGTGATGTTCCCTTTTTTCAAAATTAGCGTGTTAAAGGAAAGGGTCCAAAACTGACCATGAAGGGGAGATTCCATCCTCTGTGTTCTCCAAGCTAAGTTATCTTATTGTGGAATATCATTTTAAGAAGTGTTACAATTGTTTATGCTGTGGAACATTTGTTTTAATGATGCAAGGATGTGTTACGTTTTTTTTTTATGTTGCATTTGTTTAACACGGACTGTCTAAAACACCTCATGGGTCTAATAAAGGGCTAAGTGGCCAATAGCAGGGCAGGAGAGAGGATAGGAGTGGCTGAAAGGCAGAGAGAATAAGTAGAAGGAGAAAAGGGAGAATTTGGGAAACAAGAGGGATCAACGAACAAGAGAACAAAGAGAGGAGGATACTAGGGGCTAGCCAGCTAGCCACACAGCGAGCCGCAGAATAAGAATGAAAGTAAGATTACAGAAGTAAGAAAAAGAAAAAGCCCAGAGGCAAAAGGTAGACAGGATAATTTAAGAAAAATAAAGCTAAATAAGCCTCCATGTGTGATTTATTTGGGAGCTGGGTAGCATGCCCCCACAAAGAGCAAAAGTGTAAAGTGTAAAATAAAAAAAAAAAAAAAAAAGCAACTACACTACCTGACAAAGAAGCCAGCTTTACACTTCCACTTCCAATCATATGCACAGCTACTTCTGCCTGCCATTTAATTCTCATGGGAGCCCTGATAAGGTGGTTCAACTAAAGTCCAACTGTGCTGGGCAGTTTAAATTTCCTCACCTTGTGGCAATTATACAGTTCTCCATATCTCTTAATTCTCCCCAGGGCACACAGCTGAGGACCAGACTCCTCAAACCTGAAGTATCACCACTGTCCTTCACACCATCCTCTTGACCTGAGTGGATTTGAGTTTCCATCTTATTCGCCATTAACTGTTGCAAGGTTGCTGAGTCAGAGTAGAGTTCAAAATCATATGAGCAAAGACAGCAGAAAAAAGCAAAGTAAAGAAACAAGTACCTGGGGCTGGGAGGGAACTCAAAGTGCCCAATAGCTCTTGGTCAGAGGTTCTTTTATGTTCTGGAAACAGACCACTTTGGTGGCACTGGTACAAAGAGTAGGAGTCCAGTCAGGATGAACCCGATTGACTAATTTGGCCCTACCTGGGGGAATTCTCCTTGGTCAAGGGTAGATACAAAGGCACAAACTCAGGAAAATTCTGAAAGCAAGGAGATGAGGAGCCTATAAAAAAGCCCCCAGCTGAAGGAAAAACTAGGATGTAAAGAAAGCAAAGGCTGATGGATCGCTGAAATCTAGTAAATCAGAACTTCCTGGATTTTCGATGTTTCATGCACTGATTATGTAAAGTTCACTGTGAAATCTTGATATTTTCAGAGATGACTACTAGTCCCACTGGGACCTACAAAATTGTAGTTTTCCTTGGGTATTTAACCCTATAGAATAGGGGTTTCCTTGCTTCTGATTGCTATCATTACCCTTACTGGTCCACTATCTCAGTGAGGTTTAATCTAAGATACTTTTTAATGGGGTATCGGGATGTGTCTCGATGGGTAGAGTGCTTGTCTAGTATGCACTGAAGCTCTGGGCTTGATTCTCGTTCTTCATCAAACCAACTATGGTGGCCCACAACTATAATCCCAGAGTCTGGGAGCTGAAGGCAGAAGAATCAGAAGTTCAAGATCATTCATTGCTCCCTTCACCTCCTCTTTTACTTTCTCCTAGGCCTGTCACAATGGCTGTCCCATATCCTGGGTGATTCCTTAGAGAACAATCTTCACCTCAGACTCAGTCTGTGACTCTAGAAGGAGTACCAAGGCACCATGAAAGCCAGCTGTCACCCACTGTGTCCCAATGGCACTCCACCATGATTTACTATCAATCCTTCCATGAACCCTGGGGCTCTTGTCAGTCCCTTAGGATGAGGCAACAAGGTTTGGAGTCTAGGGCCTGTTGCAGTGGTACCAAAGACCAAAGATCAAGGTGTAAGTGACAACACAATCACTGTGTTCTGGGCTCAAACAATGGGATTGGTGTTGGGAACTGTGGGTCAGTTCTAAGGTAGTGAGGCTTTGTCCTTCTCAACACTCCTGGCTAACTATGCTTTGAACTTCCCTCCCACTGTCTCATGTCAACAATATCCTTTACTTCTATTTTGCCATATCCAAACTGCTTTCAACATCTTCATTTAACATATATATGCAGACTTATCCTTGAGGGTGTAGGTTTGGTCTCCCACATGGCATGGCACTTCCTTGAGCAGAAAATCCAAAGTGGAAAATGTCCATTTACTCTTTTAACTTTCAGAGAGAGAGAGAGAGAGAGAGAGAGAGAGAGAGAGAGAGAGAGAGAGAGAGCCGTTAACGTTCTTCACTGTGACTCAAACACCCATAGCAGTGGGCATGTCCTTCATTTGTAGAAAGGAGCAGGGACTGTTCAGCTGATGAAGCTCAGTTGTG